ATATTCGTGACCACCAAACGATTCCGCGTCGATTGAGCCCTATCAAAGTCAATTTGGGTGATAAATACAATTTTTCCGGCTAATGGCACAGTGGTGATATGTCCAGCATTATGCGCATACGATTTTTTTTATTTTCTGGGAAAACGGTTGACCACCAAACGTTTTACCGATGATATTCGTGACCACCAAACAATTCCGCGTCGAATGAGCTATAAAAAAGTTAAATTGGTTAAAAAATAAAAATTGTCCGGCTAACTTCACACCGGAAATTTCATTTTTATTTTACAGGAAAACGACTAACCACCAAACGATCGGACTAGACTACCAAAGACCACCAAACGACCACCAATCGACTCCAATTAATGAAAGTTCGATACGTTGAAGTCCGACCAACTTCGTAGAGGTGTCGAGATGTGCTTCGCTGTGTCGTTGTTGGAAAGCACTGTGTCTGACACTGTGCCACGCAGTGTCGCCTGTGTTCCTTGCTGGAAAGCACCTTATGGTTCCTGCAATTTTATGGCTTAGTTTACACCGATCACTTGATACGCGTATTAAATAGTAAATAACTAGTAAATAAGTCTGATTATTGGCTGATCAGTTCAAATATACTATTTGATACGCGTATCAAGAGATCGGTGTAAACTAGGCCTATGTGCTTCCACCTTAAAGGCTCAGTCACAATGAGAGGAATAAGAAATAAGATAAAGGAATTAGGAATAAGACATATTGCATCTCACTTTAATGTACGTGTACTGAAGTGAGATGCGACATTCCCTTATTCCTTATTCCTTTATCTTATTCCTTATTCCTCTCATTGTGACTGAGCCCTAAGTGTATTACATTGGCATGGATAGCGTGTTACCTAGATCGGTAACTTGGGAATAGACGACATGCCTTGTAACTAGATTTATGAAAACTAGAAAAAAAATTCTTGTAAATTGGAAGAGCCTAAAATCGTTATAGTAAGATTTCAGTACGAGGATTCTCTAACTCTTAAGGTGCCTTTTCATGCTGACGCTCGACGCTCATTTTTAGCGGCAAGAAGGTCGCATGACCACAATTGACGCCGGCGTCAATTAAAATTCATGAAAAGGAAAACAGCGTCAAAATTTCGGCGTCTTCGCGCTGCTTTGGCTTTGACGCTTAAAGCTGAGAAAATCCAGCTTTCTTTGCTTGACGCTAGCATCAGATCGAAATCACGTAATCTCGCGATACGCTGAAACGAGCGTCCCATGAATTCGCACCTTTAGGGCCAATTTCACCAACCACAGTTAGCTTAACCGACGGTTAAAGTTAGCAGAATTGACCAATAGAAATGAATCCACCCTGTTTTCTATTGGTCAATCCTGCTAACTTTAACCGTCGGTTAAGTTAACTGTGATTGGTGAAATTGACCCTTAAGGGGATCCTAAAGCCGTCTGTAATACCGGCTTTTTTTTTTAGCACTAATCTTTTAATTGGCTTTATAGAAATGCAAAATTCTTGTCTAGAATTAAAGTACGCATCAAAATCTAGGTCATGGTGATCGAATTTATATTGAAAACGAGAAAAAATTAATATTTTTGTTAATTTTTGGTATACGTAACGACAATATTTGCTTTGTACAAAAATTCCACAATAAATATCCACAAAATTAGACCGGC